TATTTTATTTATTTTTTTTATTTTTTTATTTTTATTTTTTTTGAGACCTGGGGGGGGGATAACGATACATCAGGAGGATTAAAAGACATAATTTGTGAATCAAAACCATGAGTAAAATATCACAAGGTGCAAAGTGGGACCTGTCACTGCAAAGACATGCAGGTTGTCTGTTAAGCATTGGATGTGCTTGAAAGGACAGCAAACGAGGTTGCTCAACAGTTTAATGCATTGAGCAGTGCTGACGTGAGTCATGTGAAAAGGCCTTTACACAAGTATCTGTCAGTCTCTGTTCAACAGCCAGTTCTATCAACCCTTCTCTGATTAATGCTTCAATACAATGAAAGATAATGCCATTCTCACTTGCCTCAAAAGTTGGTTTTTGCCAATCTTGTTAACTGTCAGGCCTGAATGAAATGTGTGAAAATTGCCTTCAGTTACAGTTTTTGTATTTAACTTGAGGACATTCTTCTTTAATCTGTTTTGTCAGAAGATGTGAGGCTGCTGGAGTTAATGCTCTTGCTGATCCATATCTCTGACAGACTTCAATATGTTGCTTTGAATGTAATTTCTATAGTCTTTTCATGAGAAAGAAAAATTAAGTTTGTTTATTATGATCTGATATGTCTATAAATTGGCCTGTGAAATAGTGAACGGTCTATATGAGAGCCAAAACACTAACGCACATTATAAATTCCTTGCAGTGTCTAGTGGAATCATTCTAGGAAACTTGGCTGTATTTCTTTGTTGCTCAAGATTGCTCTGCTCAGATTGACTCAAGTAAATGATTTCTTCAAATAAATGGCTCCTCACCCCTTGCATTTGCCAAAAAAAACAAACCCCTTAGCGGGGACCTGGGCCATATCTATAGGGACCAAAATATCACAGGCTGTTTTCCAAAACCCAGCAAGTCTAAGGCAACATCCAAACTAAAATAGAACAAAGCTAAATCCAAGCGATTTCAAACGAGTTTGTTGTTAGCATGCTAATGATGCAGTTCTGAATTCCCTTTC